CCAGTCGGTTCACATGCGGAGGTATTTCACAGTGTTCAACGTTTCTGACACGCCGTGGTGAAAGGGTTGCTAGCATGCGAGCATGGAGTGGTACTTGTTGTTAGAAACGTTCTTTAGTCAAGAGGAAGACTTGTTGTCTAGCAATAAGCCTGAAGTGTGACGGCTATCACTACTCCATGTAAAATAAAACTGCCTAGGTTTATCTTCATGTATTTTTACCCCTTTCCTTATTGTCTTGGGTTTACTGTTTTGTTTTCCCACAGAAGATTACGTTATTGTCACAAAACTGCTGCCTACTCGCCATGAGAATTCGGGTAGAAGTGCCGCCCCACGGTTCAGATGGCCAGGGTGTGTGACGATTCGTGCGATTCTGGGTGCGCGCGGCGAAATTTGGTGCGCTTTGGACGCTTTGGCGCCTATTATAGGGGCGAAAACTTGAAGTAAAATAAATTTGTATGGCCAGCTAACCCTACTAAATCAAAATTGGGCCCTAATAATAGGCGCTAAAGTCGTCAGAATAGCTGTGAATGTCGCTTGCCCGTCCCCCAGATGGCCACCATGGGTATGGGTACATACGTGCGTACGAGGCTGCGCGCGACAAATTGCGCGGCGAAGTTCGTGACGATTTAAACGACTACAGCATCTATTATTCGAGCCACATTCTTAGTAGAGTGAATCGGTAGATTGGCAGACCCTACTAAAAGTCTCTAATTCAAGTTTGGGCCTCAGTAGTAGGCGCCAGAGTCGTGTGAATCGCCCCGAGCTTTGCCGCGCAAATTGATGCACGCATCCTCGGACGCGCGTAATTTCCGTCCCCTGACCAGCATGAACTAGGGGACGTGCGATTCCGGGTGCGCGCGGCAAATTGCGCGGCGAAATTCGCGATGATTCAATCAACTCCTGCGCCTATCATTGGGGCACAAACTTGAAGTAGAGTACTTTAGTAGGGTCGTACAATCCTATTACCTTCTTTATTTCAAATTTGGACCCCAATGATAGGCGCAGGAGTTGTTTGAATCATCGCGAACTTCGCAATTTGCCGCGCGCACCCAGGATCGCACGAATCGCATGTCCCCCCACGTCCCCCGCATGAACTTACCGTAGTGTCAGTCACTTGGTGCATTTGCGGATAAATCTTTTCCGTCACAGCACTTCGTTGCCCAAACAAGTTTGCAGTGTATGTAACCTCTTTGGAGTTGGAATCAGTCTGTGCCAATTTTTAAGTTGAAAACATTTATAGCTTGCCGATCGACGCTTTACACCTACCCTCCCGGTTTCTTAAAATGTCGGATATGCTGCCAATAGAGCATTTGCGTCCATCAATCGTCAAACATTCCAGTTTTTCATCAGTGAGGAATTTTTTCCACTCAGCCAACTTTTTTTCGAGGTTGTTCTTCATGATATACCAGAAATAGCTTATATTGTTCTAGGGGATTACAACTCCTAATGGTGAAGTGGCACGATCGCTGCGTCGTCTTTCCTCAATGCCAGCCGACTTTTGCTGCTCGATTTGCATGAATATTTTCAGGAAGGTCGTGCTTCGCATAGCTGGTTCTACCTCTTGAATCTTAGAGCTTTTAGCGATTTAGCCTTCCATGCTGACATGTGGTCACTCATTCTGTGCAGAATGTATTGAGCACTGGTTAAATGAGAACGTCTCCTGCCCAACCTGCCGTACTGACACTCATACACCAATCAGAAATATTGCACTTGAACAAGTGAGTTTTAAAGGACTTTTATGGTATCCTTATAAGACTATGCCTTAGTTTTTCAGGTTGTGGAAGAATTTCAACTAAGCAAAGAGTCCCGCGTCAGGTTTTCAAAGCAAGCAAATGGGTGTGAGCCGAGTGGTTACGCAGTTAGTCTACTCGCTTTATGGACTTTAATTTTTTTGTATTGACATGGTAGTGCTCTTCTAGAGCCTTAATGCCTTTTTGCGACGTCAAGCTTATCGTGCAAGTCGCAGACGTACTCGGTTTTCCATAAATGGACCAGAAATACTGGTTGATGGGTTCGTTGATTTCATCGTTTTTGATTGCATGTCATTGTATTTATTGTGAGCTCAAACAACCGTCAATTTTCTTGATTCAGTCTCCTTGTAACCATTCTGATCGTGAGTTGATTGCGATTTTCGTTCATGTAGACTTTTTTGGTGTGGAGTTAATCGTTGGGTTGTTTGCAATGCGTTTGGTTTGAGAAAGAGCGACTGGGGGGTTTTTCAATGGTCTAATAAGCTGCTCTGTTTTAAGTGACGAATTGCGCTCACTGCAGCAGAGCTCTGGGTATTATACTCCAATGTAATTATGTTAATGTACTACTGAAGGCTTCTTGAGGAAAACCCTTTTTTTATACTGATAACTTATTCAAATGCAGTCTGTAAGATTCAGTCCTTTGCAAAGCTAACGAATTTATGAAAGTCAGCCTGAAGTTGATACCGCCTGTATTGCGCTCCATTACGCTCTGATATCCATAGCTACTTATTACTTCATCAGGCCAGGATCTTCAACTGAAGCACTGCCAGCAACAAGTCGCGAAGCCAGCTATCGGTCTCTAGGTTCTTTGCCTCGTGTTGATTTGGATGATATGTCTGAAGAAGATCTCTTGTGCGATGCGAAGCCAGTGACATTCCGACGCCGTTTTCTCCGCGATGGGCGTAAAAGTGTGTCAGGTAACACCTACTTCATTCTGAGAATACTATTTGAGATCCGCTTCGTTATCATACTGTACCTGCTTTTCGATCCATTTCAGGACGTGACGTTCATTTGTCATGCGCATACGAATCTGAGAATTCCGACATTGCAGTGACGAGTCCATTCAAGGTGACTGACTGGTTTCGATTATCTATTTTTTTCCTGAGCCGGAGAAAAGGCGAAACTTGGATAGTTTCTTATGTAATGCTTTGCGGTCATGCCTTGCCTTGGATCAACAGTTACATTGGCTGCACGTGTCATATGCATCATCGTTTTTATTTTTTGCATTTGAAACGTGTATTGAATTCGGATTTTTTGCGAGCACACGCGAAAATCAATTTGCTCGCACTTCTGTTCTTAACGTGTTTGTTGCATGAAGGAGCTGCTGAAAGGATAGGACGAAGGAAAGGGAAGGCTCTCATCTATGACTAAACCAACCAATATGCATTTAACGCTTCCACGCTGCAGCTGTGACTGAACTTTAATATTAATCTTACTTCATTGTGTTATGATCATGCTATTCGACCTCTTAACACGATGTTCCTCAAAGGAACAAGATGTATTCATGTGGAGGCTTAATAAACCATGCGAATCATGTTCAGTTTTTTGGAAGAGCAGAAGCATATTCCTAGGGCACTTATATGTTTTGTACCAGATAGGTGGTCGGTGAAGTTCCAGATGTTCATAAAAATTGTTTTCTCTCTTTTACTCATGACGATTCTTGAACTTTCAGAGGGCTTCACTTTTTCGTCGAAGCATTTGCGCCATCCGCAAGTCAGTAAGTCGTCGTCATCGTAGAAGAGATGTACAAGGTCGTTTTAGTTTTTACAGGATTCATATGAGCGTTGCATTATTAGGATGTTATAAGGTTGTGTTAAGGGCTAACAGAAAGTGGTGGCTTTACGAATGAAGAGGCAACTGCTTCACGTGAATTTGAAGAACCCGTATCATCGTCTGTAGAACCTATAATAGTAGCTGATGGAGGTAGGCAGACATGGACTTTTGATACGGTGATTGTTGTCTTTCTCGTTTCAGATATGATGAAAACAAAGAAATCCAAGTGGAAACGATTCTTTTCCTTCAAGTTGCGGAAAGGTCAGAAGTTTAGCTGTAAGAAGTTTTTTGATTGAGGGAATCTCTATTTTGATTAATGATAAGACGTTGGTTATTAAAGATGACGAGTTCTGATGCACCTATGGAATTAGCTGGCTGTAGATTTTTCAGTCCATCCAACGCGCGGTATCGACAAAAACGAACAATCTTCTTTTGGTCATCTGTGCGTGTACTCTGGATTTGGACGATCTTTTGAAAGAATTCATCCAGGCGATGAAATTGCTATCGCAGTTTTCGGCAGTCGAGGTGTCGGCAAGACCTCCTTGGTTTGTCTTGACATATCTGATTACCAAAGAATGAAGAATTTCTGGAGATCGAAGTTACTTCCTTCCTCTTTGCTCTGTTATCCTTTCTGCCGAAACCGAGTTCTGTTTGGAAGTTATCGATAATACATGAATGTGTCAATGATGGGGGCCTTCGAAGATGGCATTGAACCTTCCTTTGTTGAATCATTATCTCTTCTACTATCGCTTTTTTCAGTTGGATAATGCCACGCTTTCATGCGAGGGACGTCATGGTATTGCTCCATTGGGTCTTACAGAGAGAATGCGTCTCGGTGGGAGGAACAACCATTCTGAATACAGATTCGCACATATGACTAGTATAGTATGTGATCCTTATCTGTTTGTGTATTTAAGTATTGAACGTTCTAGTATTATAGTTTGCTACAAAAGATTTTTAGCTTAACCGTCAATGCGTGATTTCTGAGTGATTTTTAGACAGTGGAAACCCGTCATCGAACGCTCGTCATTGATCTTATCGATGCTGAGTTTGAGGTGAGAAAGAGTTACCTATTGTGGTTTGTTGGTTCAGTCTAAGTCGCCCAGAGGTCTGAATTTAGGATGACCATTCCGTTGTGCATACGTCTTACATGCGTGCAGCTGACGCAACGTTTTTGCTTTACTCCTGTTCGGACTCCGCCAGCCTTCTAGCCGCAATGTCTATCCATCGTCAGTTGGCTGCCATTGTCGAATGCCCGGTACGCAAATTCATCTCCGTATTTGGGAATATTATAGGGAATCAGTTTCCCTTCAATTTTTCGAAACCAAGCTTTTTTTTTTCGAGCAGAGTGTAGCTAGGGACAAAGAGTGAGCGAGTGCCCTTTTTGATATAAGTATTGCTGTCAAACATTCAATAAAAACGTTTTCTTAGAAACCGTGTGTGCTGCTTGCAAATGTTATGGGAGGGATTTCCCAGAGATACGTGACTCGCGAAATGGGAGAGAGGACAGCTCGAAACATCCGTGCTACATATTTGGAGACAAATCTCTTGATGCAAGATGGGATTGTCTTGAAGGTTGTTCAAGTCCATAATTCTTGCTTTTTTCATTGTTTGTGAACCCCGTGGCTGTGCTATGTGGCACTTCTCTCTTCAATCAGCTTCTTTTCGTTTACCTGCTTGAAGCGTCAGTATTTTGGGCAGTTTTCCTCAAAACAGTGAATAGGCCAGCAAATGATTTGAAAGAAGTTGATAAACAATTCGAGTACCCTACCAAGGAACAGTTTCTCTTGTTCACCGAGAAAAAAAGGTGCGACGACTGGTTTTCCAGTAAACTTCCCAGTGTAATGGAATGTGTCACCTTTGTAATACATCAGTTGACAAGCTGTGGTAATTGGAGGATTAGAAACTTACTCGTGACAAGTTGTTATCATCCTTCTCATAAAATACCATTTCTTTGATACTCATCTTTGAAGCGCATTGGCTTACTGGTTGTCAAAAGAAACGACCCTAACGACATACTATACTGTTCATCTCTACATAATTAGCACTTAGTTTCAGGCTGTAGAACACCTTTGCCGTGAAGTACTTCGCAAGAGGAGAAATGCCGACGGAAAAGACGTCTGTTCAATAATGTAACCATTGAAACTTCCTGGGAATCGACTGTTCCCAACGATCTTCAGACTCCCTCTCTCTTTGTCCAAGTTTTCGAGGATATGGGTTTAACTTTACACATTTATTTGCTTCTCGAAGAACAACGTTTCTTTCAGCACAGCTGCGTTTAATTTTGTAGAGTATCTGAATATGTTTATGAGCTTGGCCTTTCCTTAAAATCAACCGGTTGTTTTTGAATATGTATGCGTATTCTGCATCTCACTGTATTGCTATGTGGAATATTTTACATTTAACGGTGATGTTATACCGATGATGACATTTTTTAAATAAAGATCAATAGATGAGCTTGGGATGTTCATACCGTCCATAGGTATAGACGAAGATTCTCAGAGACTTCGTGCCACAGGGGCAAAGAGCTCCATTATTGCAGGCAAGATCGACGAATCAGTGACCACTCTAGGAAAGTTCCAACTCCTATGACGTAAGTGCTGTATCGACAAATGACGCACTATCTCAGCCGCGTAGTCCAGTGATGGGATCCCGACTGCATTTTCGTTCACGTTACGTCGGCTGGCCACCATAAGTCATTGTACAGGTCACATAGGCATTCAAATGCCACTACGAGTCTCAAATGGAAGTCGAATGCTATGGCGCATTCGAAGAATATCCTTGTAGTTCTCCCTATGTTTGCAATTGATGGTACCTTCCTTGTCCTAGACGTTGGGTCACTGAATAATACTGTAACGTCAAGTTTGGGTTCAATGCCCCTTGAGGACTTAAAAAGAAGTTGAGTGAAGAGCCTGAAGTATTCAAACAACCACGAACTTTTTAATCTCTGTGTCTTCATTGTCTCCCCGAAACCATACACCTCGATCAGGAAAACTCGAACACAACGTGCAAACAAAAAAGAAGAGTTTATTTCACAGATTTCAATGGAACGGCTTCAAGCGAGTTTAGCTATGATATTGTCAATGAGTCCTTTTTTTTAAATCGAACCTAAAGCGATAGTTCACGTATTAGCCAGCCCGTAGTGTTCTCCAGAATCTTGGCCTTTCTGCAAAGGCCAGGAATGTGCATGCTGAGTTGAGACATTTGTGGGTCTTTCTTTTCGAAGACATTTCCTCCATCATTCTAAAAATAGGCTATTATTCATAGCCTTACCGTCTTTGAATCGTTGTCACAATAATGAAACTCACTCCGCTCGCTGTAGTGCTTTGTTCCAGATCGCCAATAATTGTCTATCACTGGGATCGTTATACCTAAAAATACATAAGATAGCTGTAATTCACAGTGGAAACATGATTCTTGATGCTACCAATTCTGTCTTTGGGATGCGCCCCGAACTCATTTTCCATTCAGAATTGCAGTGGCGTTTAGAATGCGCATGTGAGGTGGGACAATGGCTTATGGTGGCCCGTCAGAAAGTTAATCTCCCACTCGAAATTGATAGCAATTAACCGATCCCGGAAAGATGGAAAGTTGGTTGACTTGGGCGAGTATCGATACGGCATTCAATCCCCGAGACAGTTCGCCACTTTCCACCAAATTATCAGGACCCATGCTTTATGGTTATGAATAGTGAATCGAGAATTGAATGAATAGTAAGTTTACGTGTGAGTGCTGGTGAGCTATGGGTTGTAAGCTATTAAGAAAGCAAGAGCAGGAGGGATTTCGGCAGTATAAGAGACCATAGGAATCTTTGCCCGGTACCCATGATCCTCGAATCAGCATTGAGAGGCGCATTATGATGGGTTTTGTGACTCATTAGATAATAGGCTGCTTTTGCCTCGAAAATTTCACGCGTTGTTCCTTTTCATGCTTGACTGACCCCTCCATTATGCTGACTTTCCATCTTTGTCAAACCGATTTTTTAAACTAACCATTCTTTGTCAGAAAGCTCATCGAATGGAATATTTTATCGAAAAAACTATACTCATATTGTAAAGTTAATTTTCTGTTACATAAACTCTGTAAGAATTCATAATAGGGAGCGAGAATGATACCTGGGATGATTCCCTGATATTTTGCTAACGATCGGTAGAAGTTCGGCGTTCAATTGCGTCCCAGAGGTTTGAGGTAATTGACTGAAAGTGTTTGGCATGAATTTTTCTTTTTTTCAATTGTAATAGCACTAAAGTATAGAACTCACCTCAAGCACGAAATAACAACAGATAGAAGGATGACCAGCAATGTACACCGTCTACTTAAAATCATGTTGTTGGTCCTGGAACCCACTCAATTAGAATGGCGAAAACAAATTTCGCGAAAATCACGGTCTATGATCACGTCAGGCCGTTTATTGCATATTAAATTTCAGGATATTGAAGTGTGAGTTTTCATAAACACTTTAAAAAGCAACGGAATCATCAGGCTCCAATTATAATGTTTTCAACGCGTTAGTATATACTTCAGAATTACATTATTTATACAATACGATACATTCCATTTTAATGATCCGTGACTTATCCCAATGGCGATAAAAGGGAGTAATCGTTGGAATTCTATGTGTTGTCTACCGTGCGCATCGTCTTCGGATTAAATTTTGCCAGGTTGTCATAAAGTCTATTGGAGAGATAGTCGTGCCTCGTTATACATACACAAGAAAACGGCCGGATTCCCGCGGACGGTCACATACAGGCGACATATCTTTGATAGTAGTCTCGTGTCATTAACCGCGGCGACGAGCTGAGCATAGATACCCACCTTCTTTTCACTACTAGAGAACAAAGTAAAAGTACTACTACTGTTATGAAAATTTTCTTCGACATTATTGCAGTCCGTAAACCTTCTACAAATGAAAAAGAGATTCGTACAGTCATGAAGCCGAACGTTATCAGTCACAGCGATAAAGAGAGTAGCAGTGATTGAAAAGTCCATGAATATTTTCATAATGATTGACTCCGAGAAAGAATTCAAAGAAAAAAAAAACTAGGAAAAGGAATCTAACAAAAGACAGAAAAGAGGTCTTAAGCTATAAAGTATTCCCTTATAGCCACTCACAAGTAACAACCTACCACAAACTACTACAAGAGGGAAAGGGGAAGTCGCAGACGTATCCCCATAAAGTATCCCTTATTGCCACTTACATACATACTTGAGCATGTTTTGTGGCTTTGTTTTCAGGTCTTACTGGGCTCGCAGGGGTCTCAGTTTTCATAATTATGCCATGTCAGAACGATAAAGGAGAAAATTGAGTTGATCGGCTATTTTTGGATGTTACAAGGCTTACCAACCTAACCCGTATAGACTTTTGAATGCGTATTTGATCTATACAGTGAGTTGTCGGACCAGTCAAGGTGCAAGTAGGACCAGTTAACCTTTGTGGAGGAGTCTGGGACTAAATCGGACGGCTCAGTGTCTTTTGGTCCCGGATTTCCTCACCGATTTACAACTGTGGTGGTGACGCTACTTGGTATTATTCCACCTTGGCCTCATGGATACCCACAGGTAGAAATAATGATAAATAAGGATAATTGAATAATTTCAACATGTAAACAGGCAGTTGTTGAGAGTTTGAACACTGAAATGGGGGTGTTTCGTGGAACGACTGGAATGATCTGCAGCAGATGATACAGGTGTTTGTGGAATGAGTTGAAAATTCATAGAATCCTTGAATGTACACAACGGTATTCTGTTAAAATTACTTCAGTAGACCGCGATATGATTTGTGATACTGGAAGGTACTAATGCCTGGTGAAAAACGATCCCTCGGTGGGGCTCAGATAGATGAAACACCGACAGAGATGAGTAATATAACTGGCGTAACTAAAATTTGTCCTTTCCCATTAT